GTGGGCTGTGTAATGTGTGGGCTGTGTAATGTGTGGGCTGTGTAATGTGTGGGCTGTGTAATGTGTGGGCTGTGTAATGTGTGGGCTGTGTAATGTGTGGGCTGTGTAATGTGTGGGCTGTGTAATGTGTGGGCTGTGTAATGTTTGGGCTGGGCGTTGATTGATGTTTGTTTTTTTTAAACCAATGTGTTCATCCCCGAAAAATTGAAACCAGCCCAACACCATCTAAGCTCCATTCTGACCGCACTGAGGCCATCGACATTCTTTAATCTGATTGGTTGATACAGTCAGACTATTATTATTATTGTTGTTGTTATTATTATTATTATTATTTTGGCGGGTTTTTTGCAATGAAATAAAGTAGTTACCTTTACAGATCGATATCGATTTTCACAAATAAATTTATTACCTTTACACATGGATGTCATAAATAAATGTGTTACCTTTACAGGGTGGGCCAATAAAAGTGAGAACATTTCGTAGCGTAATATTTTACGAGATTTTCTCACTTTTTTTGGCCCACCCTGTACAGATGGATGTCAATTGTCGCAAAAAATTTGTCACCAATAAATTTGTCACCAATAAATTTGTCACCAATAAGTTAGTCTTCGCTGCTTTTATTTGCATCAAAAGAATAGTCTTCTTGTGTGTTTAGATGGTCACGATTCGTTGGTTCAAATACGAATGCAGATATGATTTGTTTACCCAGTTAAACTTGGATAAAAGCTGTTGTGTAAAAAAAAAAATTAAAAAATTCGAAGTTATTAAAATTGACGCTATTAAAAATAGTTTCCTTAAAGTTCTACTCTATTGATGAACGGGCTGAAAAGGGGGAAATCTCTGTATGTTCTATTACTGGGAATAAAAAAAACCTCTACTTTCTCATTGACGAATTTCAATGAATAAATTTAATTTTTTTTTTTTAACTTGAAACAACAGTAAAACACTTTTTTTCCTTTTGTTTTAATCTTAGTGTGCCGCGGAAATCTGAAAGTGTTTAGATGAACTTGTGTGTGTGTGAACACTGCTTGAACTAAACCCCTGCACATTCGTTCAGATATCTGAAAGTGTTTAGGTGAACTTGTGTGTGTGTGAACACTGCTTGAACTAAACCCCTGCACATTCGTTCAGATATCTGAAAGTGTTTAGATGAACTTGTGTGTGTGTGCTTGAACTAAACCCCTGCACATTCGTTCAGATATCTGAAAGTGTTTAGGTGACTTTTGTGTGTGTGAACACTGTTTGAACTAAACCCCTGCACATTCGTTCAAGAGTGTAAATCTACATCATCCCATGACAGCGGTCATTGCGTTGCTCACCCATGTGTGTCACAGATAAAAACTAATATT